CATAGCCAAATTCAAGTTGCTTATGCCAATTTACAAAGTCCTACAAAACTTGGGACCTAGATATTTGAAGGACCCATGCCTGTAGGTTAAGATCTATGGGGAAGCCCTCCTAGTGATGCCCCAGATATCTAAAACATGTTATGTGACAACCTGAGGGGAGGGCCCTCCAGTTCTAGAACTCTCTCCCCTCTGAGATGCAACTGGAACCAACTTTGAAGAGTTTTCGCTGCTAGCTAAGGCATTGTAGTTTGCTCAGGTATTTACTTAGTGTTGATGCTGTTAATTATTGTTTTATGGATGGCTGAGTTTGGAAATAATATTTTTATACGTTTTATGTACTGTTATTTCAGAATTGTCCAGGTACCCTGTTGTAGGAGTGTGAATGCAACTTAATGGATTAAAAATGGATTACCTCAAGGAGAAAGATGATGTGATTGTTTGCTACATGCAGGGAGCTTTTCATGTGAGAAAGCAATCCAAAATAAAACCTCCATACCTACTGCCTGAAGAATTTTACCACCTCAGTCTGTATAATTTTGTGGAGCTGCTTCTACTCTAATCCTCAAACGGGATATCATTTGGAAGAAGTGCACCAGGAAGTAATGATCTTTGCATCTGATTAAATTGTCTCCATTATTCAATGCTCTTTGGATAGCAAGATAATGTCAGTCACGTAGGTGCTTGCAGTAACACAACAAAAAGGAACAGCTTAAGCTTCAAAAGGTTTGAAGGACACTCTGAAAGGGGGGCATGAAATAAGAGGAAGAAATGGATGATTAATATTGTTGCGGTTGTGGCCCATCCTATGAGACCTCTAAATTCGCTTCTAAAGACCTGTTGCTTCACTTTATTTAGTCATCATATTTAGAAAACATTCCATTTTTGTTCTGTCAGGGGCTGCAGACCATTTGTTTAGGGAAGTGCTGTTACAGATATATACAGTGCTTAATCACCACCGACACCTTATTGTGAGTTTCCAGAAATAGGCCTGAAAAAACACCGCCTAGACTAGAGAGATTTCTTTGGAGACAAAACATTTTTAATAATAGAAGTGATGGCCCAGAAATGATACACTGCAGGGAAGATGAAGAGGAAGAATGGATAGGAGGTGGATGTTAACTAGACCCTGAGATCTTTCATAAATGAACTTATACTTTTAAGAAAAAGGATATGTGGGAGGAGAACCTAAGATTCTGGGCAGTCTGGGAATTCAAATGACTGGATGGCGGAAAAGCATGGAAATCGACAGAGGCTGGCTAGGGAATTCCCCAGCTGTTGGTCACTTGACCCCAGAGTTGCTCTTTGGGGATGGGAGCCTGGCACAACAGGCCACAACAGCCACTGTGTGAGAAGGTGCATAAATTCATCATTTAAACTGTTCCTTAGGCATGTGCATAAAGGTAAAGGTAAAGGGACCCCTGACCATTAGGTCCAGTCGTGGCCGACTCTGGGGTTGCGGCGCTCATCTCGCTTTACTGGCCGAGGGAGCTGGCGTACATGTGGCCAGCATGACTAAGCCACTTCAGGCAAACCAGAGCAGTGCACGGAAACGCCGTTTACCTTCCCAGCGCAGCGGTACCTATTTATCTACTTGCACTCTGACATGCTTTTGAACTGCTAGGTTGGCAGGAGCAGGGACCAAGCAACGGGAGCTCACCCCATTGCGGGTATTTGAACCACCGACCTTCTGATTTAGTCCTAGGCTCTGTGGTCTAACCCACAGCGCCACCCGTTTCCCTAGGCATGTGCATAGCTCAGCACAAATGGACATCAGAGAAAGGAAATGACCTAGGCAAATAAGCACTTTCAAATTATTATAAAAATTAAATTTGCTACTAATAACTAATGAACAGGTATTAGCCAAATAACATTCAGGGATAGCAGGGACAGGTGAAATCTGTCGGTTTTGGTCTCCCCCCAGTTTCTCATTTTTTCAATTTCCAATTCAGTTCTCAAAATTCCCACACCAGTCCACATTTTTTTAGAAATGGAAAAACCATTTTGGAAATTAATCAGCATGGGGTAATACATTTCCTATACAGTGGTACCTCGGGTTACATACGCTTCAGGTTACAGACTCCACTAACCCAGAAATAGTACCTCAGGTTAAGAACTTTGCTTCAGGATGAGAACAGAAATCGTGCAGCGTCAGCAGCGGGAGGCCCCATTAGCTAAAGTGGTACCTCAGGTTAAGAACAGTTTCAGGTTAAGAACGGACCTCCGGAACGAATTAAGTACTTAACCCGAGGTACCACTGTATAAACATGAATTGAATCAAATTTCTGCCTATGTATTTATGGAATTCACAAATAAAGAGAACTGGAAGAGAAAGACTTTCCTTTTTCATGCAATTTTAGTCTAGTGAAAGGTCTCCTTATGAGGAACAGCAAAATAATCTGTGAGCCCCACAACTAAGAGGCCAAAAATAGTCCTCCTTTTGGCCCCTCTATTTTATGTAGTCTAATTAAGAAGTTTGCCTGAGAGCAAAATGTCTTAGGCCACATTCACAGCATGCATTTAAGGTATTATGATACCACTTTAAATGGTCATGGCTTCCGCCAAAGAATTCTGGGAGTTGTGTTGGTTAAATGGTTTGGAGAGTTGCTAGGAGACCCCTATCCATCTCACAAAGCTACAATTCTCAGAGTGGTTTATAACCAATCCCTCTTCACAGTTCTTGATGTCTCTTATTATAAGATCTCCGGTCTGGGAATTGGAGAGCCATTATGTAACCATGCTGTGACAGGCCCAGCCCCCAGGGATCATAAGGAAGCAATAAAGACTCTGACAACGTTATATGGAATTAAAATTAGGCCACAACTTTATTAAACTTCCAAATGTAGGAAGACCTTGGCTTCGGCCTTGGGCGTGTATCCCTCCCAGCCCCCCAGCCGGGGGGAACTGGGGCTCATCAGCGTAAATGGGATATGAGACGTACGTGTAGCAGGCAGCCCAGCCCATATCCCCACACACAGGGTAGTTCACTGACGACCTTCCAGTGTATGGCCGGTGACACCCAAAATATAACCCCTTTAAGAGGGGACCCTGGAATTGCCATCGCAGGGAGCTGAATCACCACTTCATGCCCCCCCCCCCATATAGGGAAGAGAAGACTAAAGGATTCCACCCAAGGCTGTAACTGCCAAAGTTGTGATGAATTGCTATGGGGAAGACAAAACCTGCCAATGCAGGAAAATTTCTTCCCGGTCCTTCAACAGCAACCAGTCAAAGCGCCAGCTAAACAGGAAGAAAAAGTTAACCTTCAAACAAGAAACATTAAACAAAGGGAGGGTAGGGAGGGTGGATCTCCAGAGCCAATAGCCTGGCTATTATCGGCTCCACCCCCTATTTATAAATGGGGCTGGCCCCACCTCCCAGTAAGAAACTTGATTACTGAGGATGAGCATGAACCTCCAAAACTGAGATGCAAGCCAGCCCCTGATTGCCGTTAAGCTCCCTGAGCACTGTAGCCCCACGCGTGATCCCGCAAAGGGCACCCACAATGTTAAGTGTGAGTGCTCACTGTTGTCCAGAGAGAACAGCACTAGGCTGATCCCCCACACCAAGAAAACCAGCATATCAGAAGGCTACGCTGAGCCCTTTTCTCTGACATGCTAACTTTCAACCTGTGGGCAGACCTATTTTTCCTTCAGAGAACCATTCAGGTGTTCTCTACCACCTGCAGTGTGAACCAGGGTAGCTCTTCTTTAAAAAGCCTGTCTCCTTTTCGCAAGAATATTTTGCATTTGATTCCGCAGGAGTTCAAGGAAGATATCCTTTTAAAAACATAGTTATGGAGTGATGCATTTCTTGCAATGTTTTTGAATTTGCTTGAGTTTGCAGAGACATGAAACACGGAGATTCACTACCTATGTCACTTTTGGGTATGCTTGACAAAGAAGCACAACAGTTTGGGCTCATTCTTATCTATTATCTTTCTAGATATTTATTCTGTGCTTGTCATTGTGATTCTGAGCTTCTGTGATTGATTTAGTCACTGGCAGTATAAGACTATCTATAAGCCGTTCTATTAATCCTAAAGCTCTCTCATCCATCATCTGCAGTTCCTTCAGAGGAAGAAATATAAAGGAAGAAATTTAGAAGTGTGATTTAACATGGTCTGAATTAATATTTTCCCCTGTGCAACCAGATGGCCTAATTGATGGAGAACCTAACGGCATTCATGTCCTTGTCTCTAGAATGTTCGTTCTTAACTCACTTCATAATGTCACGGCACAGAAAATGTTGAAAAAAGATAGACTCAGCTTTGAAGTTGACAATAACAATGGGTGTTCTTTATGCTACCTAAACTGATGTCAGAGACTGGGCAGATGAGGAGGAGTGGTAGAGACCTCCCCTCCAAGAGGCTTCTGGGCAGGAGGAAGATGATGGTAGTATGGACCCAAGTTCATGGTGATGACGAACAGGACACACCCCAGAAGAAGAAGCAAAGAGCTGAGAAATAATGGAGGGTGAGGAACAGCAGGAGGGTAGCAGATGCTCTAGTCCTGAACAGAAACAGGACTCAGAAGTTTGTTCATGTACATACATTTGTTCATGTATGCTACAGCTGCCGCGAGACCCTTCTGGCCCAAAGATGGAAAGTACAAGATATACCAACTATTCAGGAGAGGCAGGCGAAGTTGACAGAATATGCAGAACTTGCCAAACTGTCAGGGAGGATCCGGGACCAGGGAGATCAAAGATACCAAAATAACTGGAGTAAATTTATTGAATATTTAAAGAAGAATTGTAAAGAGGTCAAGACACTAGCAGGATTGACATAATACCTCCAATGTATAATAGTACTAATATGAGAATGATGTGTGCGATGGAAAGAGGATAAATATACCAGTTGTGGGGAGGGAGGGGGGTCGCGACTCGGTAGAGTCAAAGGGAATGTATGGTGTTATTACAATTTGCTGGAAAAGAATATGTAAGGAAAACAATAAAAATTCACTTGGGGGGAAAAAGAAACAGGACTCAGAAGTGGGAGAAACACTACAGCCGACAGTGGACACTACATCACTTGAAAGCCTGGTAGAACCTCCTCCTTCTTCAAGGACCAGGTGCTCCCTTCGTATCTTGGAGCAGAAAGTCAAACAGAGGCAGAAAGATTCCTTTGTGTGGACAGGCAGAGTCTGTCGGCCTCTGTGTGGAATAACGGGCGGCCTCTGTGTGGAATAATGACTACCCACTCTGGAAGAATGGCAGATGAAGGTGATGGACTACATGGAATTGGCGGAAATGACTGGCAGAATCCGAGACCAGGGAGAAGAGTCGGTGGAAGAAGATTGGAAGAAATTTAAAGACTATTTACAGAAATATTGCAAAATTAATGAATGTTAGAATGATGTCAGAATGAACTTAAGTGGTTTAAGCAGCAATGTTATAAAGGTGTATGTAAAAATGGACTGTTAACAGGTGAGAATCCAAAGTTATAAAATATCAAGTTAAAGGATTAAGATAAAAACAAAGAGGGAAAGAAATTGCTGAATTAACTAACTGAATTGGAATACAAAAAAGGGAGGTGTGAGGAGGTCCGGGAAGCAAGGAAATGAATGTAAGGTATGAAAAGACTGATATATTTTTTTAAGTGTTTTTTATCTTTGTTCTGTATTCTGTATTTTCCTTTTATGTTTATTTTTGTATTTTTTTTCCTTTTTTTATTTATGTAATTCTTTTCTTTGAAACCTTAATAAATATCATTTAAAAAAAAAAAGGAATAATGACTCAAGACAACGTGCTATGAGATTAAAATTGGCCACAAAATTATTATGTTTCAGATGTGGGTAGACCTTGGCTCAGGCATTGGGCGTTTATCCCTCCCAGTCCCCCGCTGGGGATCTGGGGAACACCAGGACTATCCAGAGTGTGTGTGGGGGGGATGGGCTGGCTCTGGAGAACATATGTTCAAGCAGAGAGAGCCCGCCTCCGTTACGCTGCCGTAGCAGGGGAAAGCAATGACAACCTCTCGGCGTACGGCCAAAGCCTCCCCTCAAAATAACCCCTTTAACAGGGAACCCTGGTATTGCCGCCACAAAGAGCGGGGGGGGGGCGTGGGTCACCGCTACATGCCCACCCCCAATTTAGGGAAGGTAGACTAAAGGATTCCGCCCAAGGCCTGATACCGCCAAAGTTGTGATGTTTTGCTACGGGAAAGGCAAACCTGCCAAGGCAGGAGAATTCCTTTCCGGCTCTTCAACAGCAACCTTGACATAGCAGCGCCCGCATACCTGTGGAGAAGAGGTTAACCTGCAAAAGAAGTCTTAACTGAGGGTGGGTAGGGTGGGAGAAGCTCTTGAGCCAACTGACGATTCCCAGGTAAGATCCTCCCCGTATTGTGTGGGCAGGGTGGTCCCTCCCCCTACCTGGCCTAATCACCTTGGCAACGCCTCCCCAGATGGGATTGGGCAACTGGCTGAGGTAGGCAGAGACCTCCAGGCATCCCACCTGGAGAAGGTGAAGCCAAGCCTGTGCTAATGGTGTCGCATAGGGTCCAGGGGGCTGTGTGGGACCACGCAAAGAGCACCCCCCATTTAATGTGGGGAGTGGTCATTAGTGGCCACCGTAGGCAGTAAGGAGGGGTTTGGAAGCTAGGAAGTATCACTAGGGGAGTGGAGCAGACATTCTGAGTAGCGTCTCGAGACAGAGGGAGAATAATTCATGGTCTCTCTGTGTATTCAGTTGATTTAAAGAAAAGAACTGGAAGAAGCTCTCCACATCTCTGATTTCACTAGGCAGCTAGCCCCTTGAGTCGTGACAACTGATAATGCAGTCTGAATTATATTTCGCAAAGTCCGGAGTCTTGTGACCAATATGCATGTACCATTCCAGTTACCTTTAGCAAGGACCTGCCTGCTTAGCTACCTAGGAATATGGATAGCTGCATTGCTATGATCCAGAACATTAGTCCATCTTGTTTGGTGTTGTTTACGCTGATATACAGCGGATGGCTAGGATTTCAGATGAGAGTGTCAGGGATCAAAGCTAAGACCCTCTGCCTGCAGAGTGTGAGATCGACTACCGAGTTATGGCTCTTCCATCGGCAGCCTCCCTGCACGCCTCTCATTGCCTGGCTTTGACAAGTGTCCCCTCATGCCCCCTCAGCACAATGTCGTGGGAGAAACGGCCTTCAAGAGGGCTCTGTCTTTTGTCAGAACAGTAAAGCCACTTCCGAGCTAGGGAGGGGGTGGGGTTGCGGGCTTCATGCCCCTTCCCCACACTCGCAGGGGCTGGCTTCAGCCCCCACGATACCTGGGGAATCCTCGGCCGTGTCACTGCTGAGCCAGCCTATCGGCTGACTCAGGGGGCGTGGCCTAGCTGCATTTAGGTCCGGCGCGGCCGAGAGACTCCCTCTTTGCCGCGCCGCAGCCAGACAGGTTTTCCCCCCTTCCCTTCCACCCGTTAGGCTAGGTTCTCTGATGTTGCTATGGACTCTGGTCGGTCGCCGTCAAGGGGCCTGGTAGGAATTTTTCCAATTGGCAGATTGGCACCAGCCCCTTGGTTTTCTCCTACCTCGTAGCAAACCGTCACAACTTGCGGTATTGGCGGTTAGGCATTGGTAGGGGTATTATTCTATTGCTATGCAGATGAAGGGGGGGAAGGAAGCGCCATCACCTTCCCCAAACAAGGGTAGTCCGTTAAAGGATTCTGAGGGGCGTGGCCATGTTCTAAGCCTATGGAGGTGTGGGCCCCCGGCACACCCCCAAGCGGTAACTCCGGGGGGAGCTCCTAGTTGATGTGTCTCAGCAGGACTCCCCCTACTGGTGGTTAACCCTCAACGGACTTCTAGCAACTGGGCTGAAGCCGGTTAGTTGTTAGGACCAATGCCTAAGCCAATACCGCTCAATTCCTGTAATCAATAAAGTTGTGGCCTAATTCGGCCCATTAACCCGAATTCTTGTGTCTCGTGTCTTTATTTCTGAGGGGGGAGGTGGGAACTCGCCACGCAACTGCTGTAGCAAGAAAGAAAGGAGAAGTGAGAGGTGTGGGGAGTGGACAGAGTGAAAGGTGGGGAAGGATGAGGAAGAGCCAAAGCTCTTCGATAGCATCTGTCTTGAACATAGAAGGTCTCAGGCTCAATCCCTGGCACCTCCTCATGGGGATGGGAGAAATAAATAATAATAATAATAATAATAATAATAATAATTTTTTATTTATACCCCGCCCTTCCCGGTTCAAAAACCGGGCTCAGGGCGGCTAAGAACAAATTTAAACACTTTAAAACACTTAATTATAAAAGCAGCATAAAATACAGTATAAAAACATGAATAACAATAAAAGTCAAAAGTCAAAAATCAATTAAATAATCCCCGGGGCTAGCTGGCTGAATTGGTCCTACTTGGGCCAGCGAGGTGGTCAGGGGAGAATTAGCTGTTGGAGTTTCAGAGTGGGCGATCTTCATAAAAGGGGAGGGGGAGGGAAGAGAAGGGAAATAAAAGATCAGGCTGAATTCAAATTAAAATCCAGGCGGAATAGCTCTGTCTTACAGGCCTGACGGTAGGAGGTTAAATCCTGAAGTGCCCTAGTCTCATGGGACAGAGCATTCCACCAGGTTGGAGCTATCACTGAAAAGGCCCTGGCCCTAGTGGAGGATAGTCTGACTTCCTTAGGGCCCGGGACCTCTAAACAATGGTTATTCATGGACCTTAAGGTCCTCTGCATACCAGGGCATACCAGGAGAGGCTGTCCCATAGATACGAAGGCCCTAAGCCACAGAATCCTCTGTCTGAAATCTTGGAGAGCCATTATCATTCGGTGTGGACCAGGGCTTAGCAACCTAAGGCCCATGGGTCACAAGCGGCCCACGAGGGCCATTTAACTGGCCCACGAGCCGCCCCCAAACCGAGCTGCCTGCTTGGTGAGTCCCCGCACACTGGGCTAAATCGGCGCAGTGCAGGGACTCGCTTCCGTGGCACTGGAAATCTGGTTTGCGCAGACCCTGGAAATTGTATGCGCGTGCGCAATCCAGCCCATGGAAGGATCTTCACTGGAGTGAATCAGCCCAGGCGAGGTAAATTTTGCCAACCCCTGGTATAGACATTGCTGAACTAGATGGACCAAGTGCCTGAATAAGGCAGGTTCCTATGCTCCTAAGACAATGAAGGGTAGGGGAATCTATGACCTCTTCCTCATATAGGTTTGCTTGCTTATGTAGCCTGGCTAAATAAATTTTTTTAAAAGCCCTCATGCATAGCAATGGATTTATATCTCCAAAATCAGAACCCTTTGTAATTAACTCTGACAAGGATCTGATTCAATTGTCCAATATGCTCTCTTCAGTCTTTAATGAGAAGTGGATAAGAAACAAAAAGCAGTGAGTTAATAAGAAATTAAGGAAAATAGCTGAATGGCCAGGCTTGAGGGGAATTCTGAGAAGTGTCTTGGCTTAGATTGGAAAACCACATGGGGAAAATAAAGGGTAATTAAGAAGCAGATGGGCCATCTTCCCAGACGAGTACAAGAAGACGTAGAATTTCATTGTGAGGAATGCAGTGGAATGTGTGTGTGTGTGTGTGTGTTGATTGGAACTGCAGCTGCATAGGAGGTGAGAGGTGTCTCTAATGAATGTTGGCAAAGGACTGTACTAAGCAAAGTTATTACGCATACAGGAATATGCTCTATCACATACAGGATTCTATTACGCATACAGGAATATGCTCAAGGAAGATGCTCTATCACAGAGAGCCAGCGTGGTGTAGTGGTTAAGAGCGGTGGACTCGTAATCTGGTGAACCGGGTTCGCTTCCCTGCTCCTCCACATGCAGCTGGTGGGTGACCTTGGGCTAGTCACACTTCTCTGAAGTCTCTCACTTCACTCACCTCACAGAGTGTTTGTTGTGGGGGAGGAAGGGAAAGGAGATTGTTAGCCGCTTTGAGACTCCTTAAGGGGAGTGAAAGGCGGGATATCAAGTCTAAATTCTTCTTCTTCTTCTTCTTCTTCTTCTTCTTCTTCTTCTTCTTCTTCTTCTTCTTCTGGCATGCACAGATCTATCAGTTTTGGTTTCTCTCTGTTTCCAAATCATCTTCAAGGGCAGCCCCATGTGAAAGCACATTGCAGTAATCCAGTCTGGCAACCGGCAGAGCACGGAGTATCGTGGCCAGGATGTTGTGGCTGGCAAACCAGCCATAGCTGGAAACAGGGTCTCGTAGCCACTGAGGTTGCCTGAGTCTCCAATGACAGCGCTGGATCAAAGAGAATCCCCAAACTACATACCTACTGGGTCTA